AGAAATACAAAGGAGCGTAAGAGACTACTGTGAAAAATTATACACCAACAAATTGGATAACCTAGAAAAAATGAATAAATTTCTAGAAACACACAAGACTCAAGAAATAGAAAATCTGAATAGACCAGTAACAAGTAAGGAGATTAAATCAAGAATCAAAACTCCCCCAACAAATAAAAGCCTGGGACAAGATGGTTTCACTGGTGCATACTACCAAACATTAAAACCAAACATTTTAAGAAGCATTAGTACCAATCTTTCTCAAACTCTTCCAGAAAAATTGAAAAGGAGGGAAAACTCCCAAACTCATTTTACAAGGCAAGCTTTACCCTGATACCAAAACCAGAGAAGGATACTACAAGAAAAGAAAACTGTAAGCCAACATCCCTGATGACATTCAAAAGTTCTCAACAAAATACTGGCAAACTAAATTGAACAACACATTAAAAGGATCATATTCCATGATCAAATGGGATTCATCCCTGAGATGCAAGGATGGTTCAACATATGCAAGTCATAAAAGTTATGTATCACATTAATAAAATCACATATAATCATCTCAATAGATGCAGAAAAGCATTTGACAAAATTCAACATCCATGCGTGAGAAAAGCTGTCAACATACTGGGTATAGATGACACGTACCTCAACATAATAAAGGCCATATATGACAAGCCAGCAGCTAACATACTCAATGGTGAAAGGTTGAAAACTTTTTTTCTGGACATACAGATGGCCATCAGGTACATGAAAAAGTGCTCAATATCACCAATCATTAGTGAAGTGCAAAGTAAAACCACAACAAAATATCATCTTACACCTGTTAGAATAGCTATCATCAAAAAGACAAGAATTAACAAGTGTTGGGAGGATATGGAGAATAGGGATCCCTTGTGCACTGTTGGTGGGAATGTGAATTGGTGCAGCTACTGTGGAAAACAGTATGGAGGTTCCTCAAAGAGTCAAAAATAGAACTACCATTTGATCCAGCAATTCCACTTCTGAGTATTTATTCAAAGGAAACAAAGACACTAACTCAAAGAGATGTCTTCACCCCACATTCGTTGCAGCATTAGTTGCAATAGTGACACATGGAAACAATCTAAGTGTCTATTGAGTGATGGATGGATAAAGAAAATGTGGTATATACATAGAGGGGAATACTGTTTAGCCATAAAAAAGGAAATTCTGTTATTTGTGACAACATGGATGAACCTTGAGGGCTTTATGCTAAGTGAAGTAAGTCAGTCAGAGAAAGACGTGTATGATCTCACTTATATGTGGAAATTAAAAACGTTTGTTGATGGTTGGGACTTCCCTGGTGGTCCAATGGTTGACTGCATGCTTCCACTGCAGGGGGCATGGGTTCGCTCACTGGTAGGGGAACTAAGATCCCACAGGCCCTGTGGCGTGGCCACAAGATTTAAAAAAACAAAAAAAGACAAAGAGGAGGTTGATGGTCGCCAGGTGTGGGAAATGTGGGAAATGGGTGAGTGTGGTGAAAGAGTACAAACTTCCAGTTATTAGATTAATAAGTTCAGGGGATGTAATGTACAGCATAGTAACTGTAGTTGACAATACTGTATTGTATATTTGAAAATTGCTTACCACAAAAAAGACAAAAATTCTCACCATAAAAAACAAAAATCGTAACTATGTGAGGTGATATATGTATATATAAATAAGTAAAATCATCACTTTGTACACCTTAAACTTACACAATGTTGTATGTCAATTATAGCTCAATAAAGCTGGGAAAAATTAAATGATATAAACCTACAATTACATATATTAAAAACAGAAAGTGGTAAATACTAATTATTTTGCCACATTTAACTGTTATTTATACTTTTTAGTCTGTTTATGTCTGTTTTATCTGATGGAAGTAGCATATAATGGTGTGTTGCTGAGCATTGCTTCTCAACTCCAGTTTATTTATTTTCTATATTTGATGAGTTATGGTAATGGCCAACTACTGCTAACGTTACAGCTAGGTCCCTATTACCCAACTTATTATTATAATTATTAGTATTTATTTGCATTAACAAAGCTATAATTTATTGTTGTAAGTTTTTCTGCCATCATTGAAGTCATTAGTAGCCACCAGTGATTATTGTTTATAATTTCCAAAGTATGTTTTTATCATATATCTTATGTTTTACAATATCATCAATCTAGGCTCAGCCTTCACTCCCTGTTATTGACACTTCACTGAGGTGTATTTCAAAAACATGCATTGTCTTATCCTTCAAAGCAAAACACCATTATAAGTCTATGTGTGAACTTCCTTTTTTCTCTGCAGTGTAAATGTCAATCGGTATTTGTTGTCTAGCTATATTTTATACATGTTTAGATATTCTCATTTTTAAAATCTTTGACATTTTTGCTAATTTTGTGTGCTCACCCTGCTTGCTGCTAGTAATAATGAATACATTAATTGAAGAAAGAGAAATACCAAGGGAAGCTTAATTAGACATGCTAAATAGATCCCATTTCATCTTTAAACCAGAAAGAGAAGGTTGAATTTCCACTTTCCAAAGGATTATAACTATTTCCCATTACTTTCTCACTCATTTTGTTAGCAACCATTTTTCTGTTTTCACAGGGATTCATTTTTAGTCACTTTCATGTTGAGGTAGTATCTGAGATCCCATAAGAGCTTATTATATCTGACCTTAGTCTTCACAGATAGTCAGTACTGATTCTACTCAGCTGAACTGGTATTTTGTAGGTTTAGTCTACTGTTTTCATGTAACACATGAACTAACTAAAAATCAAAACCTTGGCTATATTGCTGAAGCTAGACCTGAAGGATACTAACTCCAAGGCTGCCCCCCACCCAAAATATAGATATACTTTTAAAAATAGGCTGGGATTGTCAGTTTTATTTTTAGGGATCAAGTTCAAACTTTCAAATGCTTTTGGTTTTAAAGAACATTTATTAAATATATTGTTTGTATATGTGTGAGAGACAGACAGTTGAATGGGGAAGGTGGTGGAGGGAGAGGGGAAGGGGACCAAGAGATAGAGACAGAGATGGGTGCCGGGAGAGAGGGAGAGAGAATGAGTGTGACTGAATGAATATGAATAAATTTAAGCTCCATATCTAAAAGCAAAGCAGAAATTTATGTCTATTTGTCATTTTCTTAAATAGTTTATCCTGATAAAGCTCGTATCCGGCCATCCCTCTATTTGCACTGTAACTGTAGTGACATCTAACACCTCTTCCACACTCCCATCCTCCCCTACTCCACGACTTCTGTGTCTGTACCAGACTCAAGTAGAGTTGCCTATTCCCTTGTCCTTTGGGAAGGCACTCTACTTTTACCTCTGTATCCAGGGCCTAGAACAAACGGTACATGCATCTTACATGTTCAGTGACTGCATGTATGAATGCTGAAGGGTGTTTAAACTTTTGTTTTAACGGTCTCACCACATTCAAGGAAATAAAGGTTAATCCCTTTTATACCTTGTATATTCAACTAATCATCACTTACTTAGGAAGAGGGAAAAGTTGAGTGAACTAGTTTCTCTAGGGCTGGTTACAGTTATCTTACGGGCAGCATTTTTGTATAGCCATTTTAGTAGAGATCAGGGAGAAGACAAAGAGGCTTATAACTTGGTAGTAAGAGAAGTATTGTAGACTGTTCATGTGCACATTAGTGACACTTGAAGCTTCAATGACAGAATTGCTAAAGGGGTAAAAAATACAGTGTGCTTACGTTCTAAATAACTGCATAAAAACTGAAAAATGTCTGCTGACTTGAACAGCTGGGGTCAAAGCCAAGGCCCCCAACTCATAGGTAAAAAAGAAATAAGCAAATATTTAGAGAAGCAAAATGACAACAGCTAACTGTACTTATTTAACTTGAGGAGATTTTATTTAACTAATTTACATATTTCACCGTTTATAGTAGAAAACAGAAGTGGTCAGTTTGTATAGGAACTTAAATAAACAGTTACATTTCTAAGTGGGTAAACAGAACTCTACTTGATTCAATTATTCAGGCAGGAAGTTGGTCTAACAAATGTGTCAAATACCGAAATCAGCCAAGGTCAGACTTTCAAAGAAGTGACATTTAAAGTAAATGTTTACATAATAGTTACATCCTAGGACCTTGAGTAAGGACAACTTTTTCTGTTTGCTTGGTACAAATTCTAAAATATTGAATATGTCCCTCTCTAAATTCTTTCAGCTTATTGATACCATAATTTAGAGATCGGTTCTTTTGATTTCAGATTTTATTCTCTGTTCAGATAAAAATATCTGGGAAGGTATATCAGATTTTATTTGTCATTTAAATCTTAATGAGAGAAGCTCATAAGCTTCTGAAACAGCTGAAGACCTTTTTATAGACAGAAAAATAGCAACATCAAGATTCTGGGAGGACAGTATCATACTATCTATCAAAATTAAAAATGCATTTTATCCTTTGACTCAGCAATCCCTCTTTTGGGAAATTATTAAGGGAGAAAAGCAAGGTGCATAGCAATGTATTTAGAATGCTATCTTTTATATAGGAAAGGGAAAAAGTAAAATAAGAATTGTAATTCTTTTATTTGCATAAAGAAACACTGGCAGGTTATATGAGAAATTATTGAGTAGTTATGAGATTATGCAAAAGAGGTTGGGGGGACAGATACAGGGATTAGTGGATATAGGGATAGAGAGGAGTGAGACTTTTTTTAACCTTTATATACTTTTAAATTGTTTTGAATTTTTACATCATCTTACTGTATTACCTATTTTTAAGATGGCTTAAGAGTAAATGACAAGGTGATTAAAATTAGCAAAAGAGGGAAATTCATCTCAAGTAGGGAAGCTTGAAACTTGGAACACAGATTTTACCTGTGTCACTGCAGAAAGCTGGCTCTGGAGAATTTCATTCACTAGTGGCCTTCAACCACTAATACAGGGGACTAATAACATGAAGGAATGTTTCTGACATTCTGGTCAAATGCCACTCAGTCATGTTCTGTATGTATATGTTTTCCTGTAGATGCCAGAGGAACAAGCATTCTGTGTTTTGGTGAAAATCATGTATGACTATGGTTTACGAGACCTCTACAAAAACAACTTTGAAGATCTTCACTGCAAGTTCTATCAGTTGGAGAGACTAATGCAGGTAAATAAACATTAGGAACTTTTATCACTCAGGGATTTGTTGACTTATAGGGAAAGTCCAATAAAATTGAAAAATAATGGTTTATGAAAATCTAATGGAAAGTTACAGAAAAGGTAAATGGATTTGGTTTCTGACCAATATCTACAGTGGTCTTAATATCATAAAATATTTATTTAACTACTTGACCATTTATAAAAATAGTCTTCCATTTAAAATATTCAACTTAATACACTTTGAAGTGCGAATATGGTGAATTAAGTCAGTAAAGAGATTTCCCAGTATTATTTGTAAATAAATGAAGATATTTACATAATAAAAGCTGAAATACATAAGATTTTTCTCAATGTTAATTAGCACCAGTACCATATTTAGGTCCACATGTAGAGAACACTTTAAAGAGACAGAAAGATATTGATGAAATTAAAAACCACCTAAAATATTGTAGTGTAGGGACATACTTTAAATTTTTTCCTCTGTAATTTCCAGATCTCAAACAATGTTAACTATTTCATAATGTATATGTGTAAAGTATATGTATGAGAAACAGGTATTCTTTTATATATCTGTCATAAAAAAGATTGTGAGCAAGGACAAAATTATTGTCTAGTGCTGTTAAAGGAATTACTGAGTAGCTTTGAAATTCCACCTGAGGTTGTAAATCTTAAATTTGTAATGGGTCTGTGCAACATGTTTATATGGCTTTCTCTATAAGAGGTATTGGGAATCCAAGAGAAATGTGAAGAAAATACATGACTGAATTGATTCCATATTGGGGAAAAGTAAGGTGGTTGGGGAGGAAGGTTACTGGGATGTGGCAGTAGAGGATACTGGTAGGAGCTTATTGACATGACTTGTCAGGAGATCAATAGGTGTCTAAGGGGGAAGTGAAGCCAGTGGGAGACAAAGACTAGAACAGGGAAGTGGAAGGCAGAGAGTTTGCAGTGAGGTTAAGGACAGCTGTATTAGGAGAAGGGAATATAGGAGGGTAGAAGACCTGAAATGTGAAGAAGAAATAAAGGGGGAGGAGGATGTCAAAAGAACTGTAAGCACAATGACAAATGGGCATTGAGGGGGAAAAAGACTGTAGAAGAATCTGGTAACTATGGACAGTACAAGCAATGGGCTCTTTTTTAGAGATTTAATTCTTCCAAGTAAATATTTGGGATTCTTCACATTTTTTATCTTTCATTTACCTTTCATTTTTAAAAGTTCATATTTTTTCAAAGGTCAGTATTCTTAAGAGCTTTGAGAGTCAAATAAAAGTATCTGATAAATGAATAGCATGTTCATGGTACTATGAAGAAACCCAAATACATTTTCTGTTAGCACTTTTGTCTGTTAACTGAATGACCACTTCAGTACCCCATTAAAAGTACCTGATGGGTACATTGGGGTGTTTTTCAAAGAGCACCTTGTACAAAAATTTTATTTCTGTGGTCTGTTTATGAAAACAAAACTAAAGTGGGCTTTTATGTATCTTTGCCTTTGTCTTTCAGTTATGGGAATAGCTATGCTAATGATTTATACTTTGCCTTTCATGCTTTTGAAAAGCATTTATTTGTATAAATCGGGGAAAAAGCTTTTTTCCTCTTTTTCCCAGTATTTTTCCCAGGAGACATCCAATTTTATACATTATATACTTGTACAATTTCTGTACTTTGTAATTTTTAATATGTTGAAGATAGACTGTTAAAAGTACGGTTATGTTTTGGGCTTCAGTACCATAATGTACTGAAGTAATATCATAGAACCCAGATGATGTTTATATTAAATGGTCTTCAAAGAAAAGATACATTTCTTTTTTGGCTAGTTAGGAGTTCAACCCTGAATGGAGTGCTGTGACTTGACCGTGGAGTCCTGATACTCACTAGACCACAGGTGTTCTGTCAGAGCAAGCATTTCCCAAGAAACAGGAACAGTCAAGTGAGCAAGAGTTGATCTTTGTTATTTGTTCATAACACGTCTTTCTTGTTCTCTGTCATATGCCCAGTTCTCATCTCCTATCATCACTTCTATGTAGTTATATAAAAGTCAACAAATGCTGTAGTAAATTGAGAGTGATCGTAGCAAGCTTGTCATAAGTCGCAGTTGTGGCAGGAAATGAGGCGTCTTCAGTGTTCCTCCCCCCACAATTTTCCACTTTGACTTTCAGGAGCAGTTACCGGACCTGCACGGCCATTTTTCTGATCTGAACCTGGAAGCTCATATGTATGCATCCCAGTGGTTTCTCACTCTTTTTACTGCCAAGTTCCCACTCTGCATGGTCTTCCACATCATTGACTTACTGCTTTGTGAGGTAGAGTGACTCCCATCTCTCATATTTAAGTCAAAATAGAAAATAGTTTCTACTTAACATGATTAACAATTTTCTTCATTTTCTTTTTACCTTAAAAAAGAACATTAAGCCATAAATACTGACCAAAAAGTTCTATTTGAATTTTTAGTAAAGACTACTTTAATTGTAATTTTATTATTTGTGAGAAGTGAAAATGTTAGGCATATATAATTTCTACAAATTAAAATGAGATAATTAAATTTGTATCATTAGATTCACAATAAGCCTATATCTGTGTAATTATGCATTACTAATACCAAGGACCTTTAAAGTTAAATAAGTGAAATTAGAATCAGGTGTGTTTTTAATGGTAATGTAATTATACTCCAAGAGTGAATATAAATGAAAATTTTATGGTAATTAAGTTCTCAATTCATATCTCTTCCTGTGTGTTGTTTGAGACTCCTACCAGACAATTGAGAAGTGATAAACTAAAGCTTCTATATCATATAATTATATGTTTAGACAGTAGAATATTTCAAAAATTAGTTTGCAGAATTCCTTAGGTATCTATATTTGTTTCCTTTATTGTTTTTAGTTCCTTAGATGGCTGTATTTATTTACTTTACTCTTTTAAAGATGTAAGTAATATTACACACACATACATCGTTTACTGCCCATCAAAATGTTTGTCTTCGCGGTGATGAAAATGTTGCTGGATAAGAAAAACTTTTTTATTAGGAATATAAATGTATATAAAAATATAACTGTCTTAATGTAAAAAGCTGGAGTAATCAAAAGTGTTAACTTAATATAATTTAGACAGTTTTATATTACAATATTTTTTAACACAAAGTTTCTTCTTTCTTAGAAGAAAAGTCTAACCATTTTAATCACCTAGAAATTTCTAGGAACTAGAAACTTCATTATAGGAAGTTTCTAGTTTCTAGAAATTTCATTATAAAAATAAGGTTAAAAAAGATAAAAACGTATAAGCTATATAAAGCATAACTGTTACTTTTCAGCCTACTTACTGCAGTAACCATCTGATATGCAAGCACAGCTGGGTTTTGCTCTTCAAAGGTTCTAGCTAGCAGAAGCACAACATATGAAGGGTGCAGAGCATTTTGTAAACATGTAAGATTTTAAAACATTTGTAATATATTTTGATAAAGAAGAGTTGAGTGACTCGCTGAGAGACACAGAATATGTTCCTGAATTCTGAATATTATAACAGCCAGAGTACCTGACTGATGACACATTAATTCTATTTGTCTTACAAATTAGTTCCTAAAATGCCTATTTAAATTAAACCTAAAGGAAGAATGCAAAATTAGGAGCTAAAACCTTATTCAAAGTCAAAATGGTGTGATCACAGTATGCACAAAGCAAACTGGACATTTGTACTAAAAACTCTACTTTGCCTGATTATCCAAATGGGTGTGGTGAACAGTTCTGACTCCTCTAATTTAGTTTAATATTCTTTGAAAGTAAAACCAAATTCATTGAGTTCTGTAATCTTAAAACAAGGTGATACTAAAAGTTAGTTTTGATAAATATTTATAGGTCTTACTTATTGCACACTGATCTGAGTTCAGTATTTCATGGTATTTATAAAAATAGGAAAAAGTGGGGGCATGACATTTTAACAGTTTTATCTTTATATATAGTAAGAGATTGCAAATGCTTACTATCATTGCTTCATGTTTTTTGCTGATATTATCTAACTTCAGAGTAGATTGGTTCGGTGGTGTTCATTATAGAAAAGAGAATGAAATGAATATGCTTAATCATACCAGTTAAATTGGATTTCTTGGTCACTTTTGGTAAAGTAGTAACACTGGAATAGTGACTTTGTAAAGTTTTCTCTACCTGAATAGTGCCATACCTGACACTGGAGCACTGTCCACGGGTCTTCTGGAACCCAGATTCATAATTCCTCAGGAAATTTCGTCTTGAAGATATTTGAATTTCTAATATCAGTTGCTAAAAAAAATTAGCAACATTTATGGTAAGGAAAAGAAAAGTAAATTTATAAGCCTTCTCATCAGTTGTCAGCTGCGATTCATAATCACAGTGTTTGAAAGCTCTTAATGCTCATTAAAATTAATAAGAGCATCATAGATGTTACTTTTTATTCCCTTAAACCTGTACGCTGCAGCTTTTTAAGGAAGTTGCATAGCTTTCCAAAATGGAGTAGGTTGTAATCACAGCATCATGGTAACCAAGGAAATAAATGATAACATCCCTTAACAAAGTAAATAGCCTTTCAAAATAAAGTTTATTGGGAACAGTATTGTAGTGTGCTTCAGGATATTTGTTCTTTCCACTAAGTCATCTTTGTCAGAGGATTAATTTGCAAAGGAAACTTTTAGATAAACTTTTATTTCCTGCTTGTCTGTGTTTTCTCTTTGCCCCTTTCCTCCTTGTGGTTAATAAAATATTTATATCAAGGCTATTCTTTCATGTGTGATAAAATATTCCAAAAGAAGAAATGGAAACATAGTCTTAAATAGAATCATCCATAGGTATTTGTTTTCGTCCTATTCTCTCTTTTTAAAGAAAACAATTTAAATCTTGATGGTCATGAATTAATATTGAGTTACAAATGGAAGGCTTGGAAATTCTTAGATGGAAAAAGTGTTGATTTTTCAAAGTTCATTATTCTGACAAAAAAAATGTATTGGTCTGCAGAATATTTTGCTCAAAGATCCTATTGCAAAATGAGAAAGTCATTGAGCTTGAAATTTTACTCTTAGAAAGTATATCCTCATTTCATGTTTTCCTAAGTTAAAGGTTTTTAAGGATTTCTTCATTCATTCTGAGGTTAAGAATATGAAGTTAATGAAGTAGCAGAAAAGGGAAGAATTTTAGTAGACTTTGACAATGCAGTTGGAATCAAGAACTAGTTATCGGTAGTTTTATTTAAAATATTTACTTAAAGCTAAATATGCGGTGACTAGGGTTAATTCTTTTGTTTGGTGAAGATGGATTGCAACAGGATTTGAAACTAGAGTTGAAAATACATTTTCTTGTATTGAGATGAATGGAACTCTGTAAATTGACATTTAGCCCAAAATTGAAATGAAAAAAAAATCTTTTTAAAGAACAAAGCCTCCTATGTTTATTATCTGTCTCTGTTTATATGGAGGGATAAGAAGAAGGCTAAAAGTATTAATTACAGTGTAAATGCTATGCTGTTAATCCCCCAAGAATAAAACATTGGTTTCTAAAGAACCTTTTATTTAAATATAACAGAATAAAAGAAAATGTGCAAAAATTAGTGTAAAACATGCTGATTTTTAACAAACCGAACATACTAATGTAGCAAGTACCCAGATAAAAGAAAAAGAACATTACCTGCATTTCATAAGCCCTCCTCCCCTCAGTCACTACTCCTCTGAAGAGTGATCACTATCCTGACTTTTAACACCTAGATTAGTGTTAATTGGTTTTGAACTTTATGTAAATGGCATCATACAATATGAACTCTTTTTCATCTAGCTTCTTCATTCATCATTATGTTTGTGAGACTCATCCATATAGTGCATCTAGGCATGGTTTATTTCAATTTTGTGAATATGCTACAATTTATTTGTTCTTCCATTCTATTGTTGATGGGCGTTTGGGTCGTTTCCCGATTAGGGCTATTATGAATAGTGTTGCTATGAGCATTCTTAAACTTGTCTTTTGGTAAACATATGTACGCATTTCTTTATTTTTTTAAATTTTTTTAATTTTTTATTTTTGCGGTATGCGGGCCTCTCACTGTTGTGGCCTCTCCCGTTGTGGAGCACAGGCTCCGGACGCGCAGGCTCAGCGGCTATGGCTCACAGGCCCAGCCGTTCCGCGGCATGTGGGATCTTCCCGGACCGGGGCACGACCCCGCGCCCCCTGCATCGGCAGGCGGACTCTCAACCACTGCGCCACCAGGGAAGCCCGTGTACCCATTTCAGTGGGTACACGTCTAGGAGTGAAATTTCTGGGTTAGGGCATATGTAAGCTAAGGTTTTGTAGATGCTACCAAACAGCTTTCCAAAGTATTTTGAGCATCGCCTTTTGTGTTGTTTTTATTCAGTAAAAGTCTTCCTTGTGATCAGGGGCAGATTTTTTGTTTTCTATTTTTTTTTTTGTAGATGGCAGGTCCTAGATCAGATTAGTGTTCATGAACATGGAGCAAAATGAATCTCATTTGGTGATTGAAGTCATTCACTTAATCTCTGAAGTTGCGTACAGATGGGAACTAAGAGCTGGATCTAAGACCCAAATCACTTTTGTGCTTATATGAGGGCAGTTACCCTGATGTGGAAAATTCAGCAATGTATTCAGTTATAGAAGAAGCAACATAGAGACAGCTTAACATTGGCGTTGAGGTATTTGGCTTTTTAGTTAACCCTTCCTGTATCACTTTCTTCACATTACTTTACCAATATATGTCTTAGTTTTCTTCTCTGTAAAATGAAGCTAACAATACCTAGCTCCTGGGTTTATTTTAAGGATTAAATGCAATTATGGATATAAAGTGTCTAGCACTCTGTCTGCTACGTAATAAATATTTACTTAATAATATTACCTTCCATTCTGCTCCATCCACCTGTATAGTCCTTTTAGTTGCTTCTCAATTTATTCAATTAACAACCAACTTTAGGGATTCTTAAGAGAGGGTTAACTAGCTGTTGGTTCGTTATTACCTTTCTAACCACCTTTGTTTTCCCCCCAGTTGAGGCGCCTCTTTGCTAAAACCAAAAATTTAGCCATTGACCTTAATAGAAGTTTTATTCTATTTCTTATTGACTATAGTGATTCAAGTAGTCCTCCAAAAGTGTTTTTTCTTCCACCTTCTTTCAAAAGACATAAGGAAAACAGTGTTTCTTTTAGTCTTGACAAGATAACTGACAGCTGTTTAAAGTTGACTCTTCCCAGATAGTTCAGGTTTTAGAGTATCAAATATATTCAGCTTTATATAGTAACTTGGTATTTCATGAAATTTAAGGAAATCATTGACCCTTCAAATTGGAGTA